TCAAAAATGTCCATTGTTGTTGTCAGACATCAATTTTAGGTTAAAAAGGGGAAGGGTAATTTTGTCTCATCACTATCTTTTTTTTTTTCCTAAAATCCATAGAATTAAAATCTCAAGGGGTGGCATGGGATTATAATTCCATGAAAATGAGGGAATTGCAATTCCTTCCAACCAAACTAAAGAATTTAGTGGCCTCTGGAATTAGGTGAGAATTAAGTGGGGATGAAATTTAAATTCCCTCCAACCAAACGCCTTGTAAAAGTTCACATTTCCAAATAGATTGTAAAACAAAAATCATTAACAGTGCGTTTTGTTGGAGAGGGGGAATTACGTGAGAAATGAATTGTAATTCTATGGGAGATGAATTACTGGGAATAGAGTGAGAATTTAAATTCCAGTGTTTGGTTTACAGGAATAGAATTACCTGGAATTTCAATTCCAATGTTTGGTATACATGAGAATTAAAAGGGAATAAGTAGTATAAAGTCAAAAATATCCATTGTTGTTGTTAGGCATTAATTTTAGGTTAAAAAATGAATGGGTAATTTTGACTCATCACTATCTTTTTTTCTTCCTAAAATCCCAGGAATTAAAATCCCAGGGGGAGACATGAGATTTTAATTCCATAAAAATGGGGGAATTGCAATTCCTTTCAACCAAACAAGGGAATTTTGTGGCCTTTGGAATTAGGTGGGAAGGGAATTTAAATTCCCTTCAACCAAACGCACTGTAAATATTCATTTCGACAAAAACCCTACAAGTCAGTTCCCATTGTGGTCTCTTACAAGCCCACCCACACTTGCAAGACCTGAGTTCGTTTTTCTAGCCCCATCAGTAGTAAGCTTGACCTAACCTCCTGTAGGCAGGGTCCACCCAATCCAATGAGTTCTACAACCTTCCACCACACCCTTACTAACCAAAATATCCTCTGCCTCGTTAGCCAAAGGCCCAAAATCGTGGACTTGCGAACCATTTTGGCAACTGAACACATATTTCCCTTAAAACCTCAATCATTCCTCCTCTTCTAAATAAGCCACAACATGTAACTCATCGAATTTGATTACCCCAAATAGACCAATCTCAGAGCCTCTCATTTATGTTGTAATTGAACTTTATCCATCCCTTCACGTCCTCTAGATGGGTAAGTTGGAAGGCGGCGGGACTGAGACATCTACTCCAACACGCGCGAGATGTAGAACAATTTGCGAGGATATGCTAAAGAGTTTCCTCCTCCATGCCACATCTGGGACAAGAGCCTTCTTTGTAACACCCACATTTCCATAACCAAATTTTCCTTACAATTAATTACAAATACAATCAAATTCTAAAGAATACACATATTACTCAATATATAAAATATGCACATAACCAGTACGTGTTTATGTCAAACCAAAATCCTACTTTATCCCTGTAAATATTTGATGTCTATAAAAAGTTTTTGTTGAAAATATGCTCCAGTTATCCCAGAAAATTCCGTAAAGTTTTGGCAGTGTGCTGCCAGTTAAATTTATGTCTGGCGCAGTTTTGGGAAAAAATTTGAGAAAAATACTTCCAGACCTTGGATTGACATGAAAATTTTTGTGTATAATCTAAACTCTCTGATACCATTATCTTTTTATAAATTATTTTGGTTTTGGAAAATGGGGGTGTTACATTCTTCGACCATCCCTCTCTGCTTGTGCTCTACATTCGCCAGTAGCCTGCCTTTGAAGACGATCCAGAGAAATATCTTAACTCTTTCGATGCTCTTGAGCTGCCAAATCCATGAGAAATCTTCACCTTCTTTGTCATAACCTGCAATGGTTTTAAAGGTGAGAGGAATAAACAATTTACCTGTACCGGAGCTATTCCAAGCTAGAGAATCTTCAATACTTGCGTTCAATAGAAGCAGGATGGCTCGAATCTCATTCATCTTCGTGGGAAGCAAGATCTCATGTAATTTCCGAATATCCCACAGCCCCCCCCCCCCCCCCGCCCCTTCCAAGATAACCTCGCTCACCTTCATACTCACCAACTTTGACACGATGTCGTCGTCTAAGTCGAAGACGATGGGAGTCTAACCCACCCGCTAGTTCGTCCAAAGGTGCAGGGACCGCACATTACCAACTCTCCAACTAGCCCTCCCGATCCACGACGATTATGCCCTTCACAATGCTTTTCCAACCCCATGAGGCTCCCTTAAGGACCATTTCATCCAAGAGGTTACCATTCTTCATGTACTTATTCATCATAGCGAACCCATGGCTTATCCGGACACTTAATTACCCGTTAAGCTAGTTTGGAAAGCAAAGTTGTGTTCATGTCACTGGTTTTTCGAGTCCCTAACCCACCCTTATCCTGGGGGGAGTAGACCTCATTCCAATTAACCAAATGAACTTTCTTTTTCTCCTTGGCTTCTCCCCTAAGGAAGTTGCTACAGATCCTGTCGATGCCTTTATAGACCCCTACCAGAATAGCCATGACTTGTATAGAATAAACATGTATGTTATCTAGGGAAGCCTGCACCAACACACGTTTCCCTACAAGGCTAAGAGACTCCTCTTTCTAGTTTGCGAGCGTCTTCGACATGTTATCCAGAATGTAATTGAATGTGTCTTTAGTGACTCATTTCTACAACATCGGAATCCCAAAATATTTCTCAAATTGAGAAGTAATGAGAATCTTAGCTATCTCTCCAATGGTTTTCTTTAGCTTGCAATCAATATAGGGAAACAAAAGAGCTGGGATTTATTAAGATTAATTTGCAAACTTAATTTACCTTAGAAGTCTTCCAAAACTCGCATAACTCGATTTATTTGATGAACTGGAGCTTCTAGCATGAGGTCTTTGGCAAATAAGAGGTGAGAAACCCCACTGCACCCATGAGTTATCTTCACGGACCTCCACTCGATCCCCTCGATTTACTGCATCTTGGATCTCAGGAAAGCCATTCCAGGGCAAGAATGAAGAGGTAAAAAGCAAGAGGGTCACCTTGCCTAAGCTCATAGCCAGGCTGGATAGGTGGGCGTTTCTCCCCATTCCAAAGGATGGTAATATTGTTATCTTATTCTGCAAACATAATCAACTTCACAATCTACCTTGAGAAACCAAAGATGAGGAGAGTGCATTCCTGGAACCCCAATCAATACTGTTCTAAGCTTTATGAGGGTCTAACTTAAGAAGCATCAAACCCTTATTCCCCTTCTTGCGATTCACGGTGTGCACTACCTCGGAGAAGATCACATTATAAAGAGTGTACTTCCCCGAAAGGAAGCTATGTTGATAAGGCCCTATGATCCTTTTTATGATTGGTTTTATCATATTGACCAACACCTTGGACACAATTTTGTAGATGACATTATAGAGCGTGATGGGCTTGAAGTCTCCCGCATTATTCTTCGGCCTCTCCTTCTTGGGGATAAAGGTGATAAATGTTTCGAGCAGCTTCATCGGAACCATGCTCGTGTGAATAGCCATGTTGATCAGGTTTATAATGGGTTTCGAGAGACCACCCCCATGAAATCTTGGTAGAAGGTTGCTTGAATCCCATCTATCCCTGAACTCCCAAATCTTTTCATACCAAACATGACCCTCCTAACTTCTTCCATGCAAGTGTATCTGCTGAGCCTCTCAACATCACCCATGGAAACAACCTGCCCTCACAGGGTCAGCGTCTGGCTCCCCTTATCGTGGCCACCCTATCAAAAAGACTCGAAAAGAAATTAGATATGTGATCCTTAAGAAAAGATGGATTGGAAATCCACTCACCATAAATTTTGAGCACCTGGACTCTCCCTCGGTTACATTGTCGAATCGTAGACCTGTGGTAAAACCCTATGTTCCTATCACCATCTCATACCTAGAAAGCTCTCAATTTCTAGAACCAGATGTGCTATTCTTGAACCCTATGTTATATAGTCATGCCACAATAATACGTACTAGGACCAAAGGACGATGTTCCGATAAAGATAATTAAAAATGAAATGCTACCTATAAATCTAGGACCAAAAATTTAATCAATTCATTTTATTTTCGTTATAATTTCACTCTCACTCCTTAATTTGATGATAATGGAGTTATTGGAACATTTTCTTTTCAAAAAAAAAAAATCATAATATTTTCTTTTCCTTCAAAGGATAAAATACTATCTAATTAAAGAAAACAAACCTCCCTGTCTTACAATTATTCTAATTAATACCAAACTTAAAATCCGGTGCAATTCTAGTAAAAAAATTAATTTGATCCCAACAAAATCTATTTAAATTGTATTGACTTATATATTTACATAATAGGGAATTGTTGATATTTTTTCTCATTAAAAATATTACTGAAATATTGCATTCAATTTACATTGAAATTATTGTGATATATAGAACATGGTTTTCCTATAATTAAAGTTGAGATTGATCATAACCGTTCATCAAGTTTCATCAATGATTGATGATTTTAGTATAAAAAAATTCAAAGTTAATTTTATAATTATTGTAAACTTTTAAATTTATAATCTTTATAAAACTTGACTTGCTCATTTATTCTCTTATTTTTCAATAACTCTCCATCGTTGAGCTACTCAAGTGGTGGGATCAATATCAGTCTTCACTTTTTATTTGTGAACATGTTTTCACATGAATTCTCACTTATATGAAATCTTGTTTAAATGAGAACAAACAGCGTGAGAACTGTGAACAAATCGCGTCAGTCCATGTGTGATCTTGGAAAATATATCAAAGAATCTGATTATTTTAGTAAATAGCATTTACTGCCACTTAATTACTTGCCAAATATCTGCGTATATACATCAAACTTTTTAAGGTCGTGATTAATTTACAGCTAATTCGTGTATAGGACTCGATTTGTAATTGTAATTATTTAATTTAATTATATACTTAAACAATTGCGTATCTTTATTAATCATTTAATTATGTTTTTACTATATAGTGCTTAACAACATGATGCATAAACAATGAATATTTGTCAGCTATAAATAGCAGACTCTTTTAACGTCAATCCGCAGAGTTTCATCGTCTTCTCCGATCACAAACCATGGCTGCAGGGTTTCCGGTGGCGTCTCTGGTAGTCCTAGGAACATGTCTTTTGTTGTTGCTAAAAGTTGCCTATGAAACCATCTCATGTTACTGGCTGATTCCTAGACGCATCAAAAAGGCGATGGAGAAACAAGGAGTGCGTGGGCCGAAACCTCGGTTCCTGGTCGGAAATGTTTTCGAAGTGGCGTCGATGGTCTCGAAATCCACCGCCGGCGACATGGAATCCGTCCACCACGACGTCGTTTCCAGGCTACTGCCGCATTACGTCGCGTGGAGGGAGATTTACGGCAAGAGATTCATATACTGGAATGGGGCGGAGCCCAGGCTGTGCCTGACGGAAACCGATTTGATCAAGGAGCTTCTCTCCAAGTACAACGCCGTCACCGGAAAATCATGGATGCAACGGGAGGGGTCCAAACATTTCGTCGGCCGGGGGCTGTTGATGGCCAACGGCGAGGATTGGTATCACCAGCGTCACATTGCCGCGCCAGCTTTCATGGGTGATAAACTCAAGGTAAAAAAAAAAACAAGCCCAAAATTTATAAAATTAAACCTCAAACTTTCAAATTTTATGGTACAACCCTAGCAAAGTTGGTCGGGTTGTTAGTTTGAATAATTAAAAGGAAAAAGGGTCAAATAGACCCTTAAATTTTATTTAAAAGTGCAATTAGGCCCTTGAACTTAAAAAATATTCAATTAAACACTTAAACTTATCATTTTAGTGAATATAAACCTAATAACCGGTAATTTATCTGAAATAACCCGTCATCAAGATTCCGACGATGATTTCGACGAAAAAAATTTCGACGAGTGTTAGAATTAAAAACATAAAATCCAGCGGCGGTCGTCGAATTCCGGCCGTCTTCCATTGGAGAAGACGACCGACGACCGTCACCGGATTTTATTTTATTTTTTAATTCAAATACTTGTCGGAATTTTTTCACTGGAATTATTGTCGGAATCTTGATGACTGGTTATTTCAAGTAAATTACTTATTATTGGGTTTAGATGCACTGAAATGATAAGTTTGAGTGTTTAATTGTGCCTTTTTGAAGTTGAAGGGCCTAATTACACTTTCAAATAAAGTTTAAGGGCCTATTTGATCATTTTCTCTAATTAAAAGGGTTCCAAATTCAACTTTCAGTTGGAGTAGCCTATTAATTTTTGTGATTTGAGTCCATCACTTAGACAACTTAAGCTGATTTATCTTTGGTAACCCTTTGTCGACCAAAGTTACAAGACCACCCGTGCACACTCTTAGATTGCGATAACAAATTTTTCTTAATCACCCAAAAACCTATTAAGTTTTAATAATTTAATACTAAACATTTGTATTCTGTGACAATTATAGAGTTACGCCCGGTACATGGTAGAATGTACGACGGAGATGCTCCGATCACTGAAAAATGCAGTGGAAACGGGTCAAACCGAGTTCAAAAATGTACAATTAAGCACTCAAACTTATCATTTTAGTGAATCTAAACCCAATAATCGGTAATTTACCTGAGTCATCAAGATTCCGACGATAATTCCTGCGAAAAAAATTCCGACGAGTGTTTGAATTAAAAAATAAAATAAAATCCGGCGACGGTCGTCGAATTCCGGCCGTCTTCCACTGGAGAAGGCGACCGTCGCCGGATTTTATTTTATTTTTTTAATTCAAACACTCGTCGGAATTTTTTCACCGGAATTATCGTCGAAATCTTGATGACTGGTTATTTCAGGAAAATTATTGATTATTGGGTTTAGATTACTAAAATGATAAATTTGAGTGTTTAAGTGTGCCTTTTTTGAAATTGAATGGCCTACTTGCACTTTCAAATATAGTTTAAGAGCCTATTTGATCCTTTTCCCTAATTAAAAGAGTTCCAAATTCTTCAGTGGGAGTAGCCTATTAACTTTCTTGATTTGAGTCCGTCAATTATAGACAACCTAAAATAGTTTATCTTTGGTAACCCTTTGTCGACCAAAATTACAAAACCACCCCGTGCACACTCTTAGATTGCGATAACAAATTTTTCTTAACCACCCAAAAACCTATTAAGTTTTAATAATTTAATACTAAACATTTGTATTCTATGACAATTATAGAGTTACGCCCGGTACATGGTAGAATGTACGACGGAGATGCTCCGATCACTGAAAAATGCAGTGGAAACGGGTCAAACCGAGTTCGACATAGAGAGTTGCATGACTCGGCTTGCCGCCGACATCATATCCCGGACGGAATTCGGCAGTAGCTACGAGAAGGGAAAGCGAATTTTTGAGTTGCTGACCGTTTTACAACGCCTTTGTTCTCAATCTACACGGCACTTGTGTTATCCCGGTAACCGGTAATAATTATTCTCTTCCCATTAACCTCTTAAAATTATTAACTCTATTTTTATGTAAGTAATTTAATTTAATTTATTTACTTATTTACGGCGACAGGTTTTACCCAAGCAAATATAACAGCGAGATAAAAACGTTAAACATTGAGGTGGAGAGGCTGTTGATGGAGATCATACAGAGCAGAAAAGACTGTGCAGAAATCGGGAGGATCAGCACGTACGGGGATGATTTACTGGGATTGTTACTGAAAGAGATGCAGGAGAATAAAGGGAATAGCAATGGATTTCGTTTGAATCTGCCATTGATAATGGATGAATGTAAGACCTTCTTCTTCGCCGGCCATGAAACTACCGCGCTATTGCTCACCTGGACCGTCATGCTTCTCGCTACCAATCCTTCTTGGCAGGAGAAAGTTCGCGAGGAAGTGATGCAAGTCTGCAATGGCGATCCTCCCTCCATTGAACAACTCTCCAAGCTAACCTTAGTAAGCTTTGATTGATATTCTCAATTTATGTGTGTGCACGCCAACTGTTTGTCAAAATTCCCAACTTTTGCTTTCTTATTTGCTTAAGTGCACACCAACTGTTTGTTAAAATTCCCAACTTTTTTTTTTTTAATTTGCAGTTGAGTGCGGTGATAAACGAGGCGCTACGGCTGTATCCGCCGGTGACGCTGCTGCCGAGAATGGCGTTTGAGGACTTCAAGCTGGGGGATCTGCACATTCCGAAGGGTTTAGCAATATGGATTCCGGTACTTGCCATCCATCACAGCGAAGAAATATGGGGAAAAGATGTGAACGAGTTCAAGCCGGAAAGGTTTATCTCAAGGTCCTACTCGCCTGGCCGGATTTTCCTTCCGTTTGCCGCCGGGCCGCGGAACTGTGTCGGCCAATCTTATGCGTTGATGGAAGCTAAGATCGTGCTGGCCATGTTGATTTCCCGATTCAGCTTCGACATCTCCGACAATTATCGTCATGCTCCGGTGGTTGTCATCAGTGTCAAACCTAAGTATGGCGTTCAAATCCGACTGAATCCTTTGATCTAGCAAGGGTTAGGAAAACATAGTGACAATATTTGGGTGGTGATGAAGGAGGATTTACTTTTATTTTTATTTTTGTTGTTATAGAAGTTATACTACATTTGGACTTTGGTAATGAATGATCATACATGCTTGTCTATCAATATATCCTAACAAAATGATGGTACAAGTTTGACATTTTATATCCATATTCCTTTAAATACACTTATTTTATAGGTTGTGATGGGTATATTATAGTTGGGCTCGGAGTGAATTGACCCAATGGATATATGTCTCGTGCTCGGCCTCAGGTCACCAATAAGGTCGAACCCAGCGCTCGGCCTGGACCCCAGGCAGCCAAGGTAGAGCCTAGTGCTCGGCCTAGGCCCTAGGCCCAAGGCCAAGCCCAACGCTCGGCCTCGGTCCAGGGCGCCAAGGCCGATCTAAGTGCCCGGCCGCGGCTGTGGACTCGATCAAGGGGTTCCAACCGCCCGCCCTATTCTCATGGATGTGGTTAGAGAGCGGGTTAGTATAAATGTTGCCATCATTGTCTTGTTAGGAGTTAGGAACTTAGGGTATCTTCAATCCACTTGTAATAGCATTACATGATTCATAAATACAACATTCTTGTCCTTTTCCATCAACATCCTTATCTTTATCATTTACTATATATTATATTTTATCATTGTCCTTTAATTATTGAGTTATTTGAATCGTACTACCCAGGTCAATATAATCCATTAAACCTATTGCATTGAACACAAAAATACAATTCAGCCATTAAACCTAAAAAAGAGTAATTAATCTATCAAACGTGCTAAAATCAAGCAATTACGGCAATAAGCTGGTTGCCTTTGATAGTTACCGGTCAAATGACTTACATGAACACTGTTTTTTTCTTTTTTTTTTTAGACGGTTAATTGTATTTTTTGTGTAAATTTGATGATTTATTTGACTTTTTTTCTTATTAATTTGATTGATTTAGTTAAAAGGAAGTATTCATCCCACATATATAAGAAAAGAGTAATTAATCTATCAAACGTGCTAAAATCAAGCAATTACGGCAATAAGCTGGTTGCCTTTGATAGTTACCGGTCAAATGACTTACATGAACACTGTTTTTTTCTTTTTTTTTTTAGACAGTTAATTGTATTTTTGTGTAAATTTGATGATTTATTTGACTTTTTTTCTTATTAATTTGATTGATTTAGTTAAAAGGAAGTATTCATCCCACATATATAAGAAAAGAGTAATTAATCTATCAAACGTGCTAAAATCAAGCAATTACGGCAATAAGCTGGTTGCCTTTGATAGTTACCGGTCAAATGACTTACATGAACACTGTTTTTTTCTCTTTTTTTTCTTTTTTTTTTTTAGACAGTTAATTGTATTTTTGTGTAAATTTGATGATTTATTTGACTTTTTTTCTTATTAATTTGATTGATTTAGTTAAAAGGAAGTATTCATCCCACATATATAAGTAACATGTTGAGATATGCCCAAGTTCAATATAATAATCCAAGTGCCTAATTTCTGATTGAAAATATCCAACTGGGCTTAGAAAGATACGATCTCTTCTCAGTTTATTATCATTTTTTCTTTTAATTATTATTTCAGGAATTTTAGAAAGAAATAAAAGATAATATTTTTTTAAAGAAGGAATCCAGTGGCCCCCTTAATTATTTACTTCTATGATTTCTGGCATCATAAAGTATAAAATATTTCACGTATACAACATGTACTATGCATTTGCTGCTCTACCGTGTGCAGTGGTACATTAAATAATAAGACTGCAGTCTAATGATGCTTTTTTTTTTAACCCAATTGATCTAATCATGTTTTTTTTTTTTTTTTTTTTAATCCATGATCTGCTTTAATTTGATACACATTGTTAAATCAAGCGTTTATCACTACACAAAAACATGTAGCTAATAGTGAAGATATAAGTCTTATTTGGTAAATGACTGTTAGCTGATAGTTGTTAGTTGTTAGCTGATTGGATTAATTAGAGGGTATAACTAGCTAGTTGATAACATTAACTGATTGTAGGAAAGTATTTGGTAAATTAACTGTTAGCTGATAGCTTTTTGGTATAATTTCTTTTCTCAAAAAGTTAATTGAAAAAGCTGCTTTGAGCATCTTTATGAATTTTAACATTTTAAAGTTGATTTTTTAACCAAGTTAAACAATTAATAATGGTCAAATAAACTAAAATTGGCTGATAGACTAATATTTTACCAAACAGGTCGGGCCATGATTTTTTTATTTATACTTATGTAACAGTTAGTGTCACATTTCGATGACAAGATGTTAGATTGACTCTCCAAACCTCATGATATCTTTATTTATGGAAACGATGGTTTGTAGATCACTATTCACTAGATCTTTGTCTTATGGAAACACAAATCAGACAACGAATGCAGCTAAGGCGCTCAGTTGCATGTCTTGTGTAAACAGACGACAAGGAGCATCTTAATTAAGTAGAAACATTTCTTCAATATATAATGTTCTTATTATCAACTGGATCATTTTAATTAATTATTAATTAAAAACTTAAGGTGGGATGATAAGAGATTAGAAGACAAAATATTTAAAATATAAACTCTCATCTAATGCGGTAAGTTTTTATTTAAAAATACTATTTAGGGGTATATACTTCTGTCATGCGGCGTATATTAATAGGGTGAAAGTAAAAGAAAATAAATGAGAAAAAATGTTATTTCTTATCACAAAATTAATTAACATATTAAAGAATATAGAGTAAAATGAAAAAAAAAAAAAAACAAAAAAACAAAAAAACGTATAGTACAACTATCATTTTGATTATTCTAAAAGAAGTCTGCCTTGTTATCCTGGCTGGTAAAAAATAACAATGAATTAAACCAATCTAGATTAATCATAGCTGACCGACTCAATGTATGGTAAGTCAAGTGGAAGATATTGATACCTCCTATCTAAACTTCTCACATTAACATTTCTTGATTCAATTAAAAATTGAAAATCAGTAATTTTAATATATTAATTAGACTATTTTTTTAAATATATATTAACTCTCAATAGCAATTAATACCTAGGCGATTGATTACATAGGTTGTAATGTTTTTCTAGAGTGAATCAAAAGTATCCCTATATACCTTGGTTAGAGCTAAGATATGCATCAAAATTATTGTGATAGATGTTCTGCCCTACCATCATTCTTATCTCCAATTTAACCACCAAAGCTTGTTCCAACACTCTTATTATATTACTAAATCTTTGTTAATTGGCCTGGTGCTCCTAATCATAATCAACATTTGATTTTCTTCCAATATAAATATAAATAATATTATTATATTAAGCTCCACTACATTGATCTAGTGAATGAGAAATCTCACTGATGGATATATTACAAATAGACCCGGAGCATATCAACCCAGAGAAAACCAGACCCGATTAACTAGCTACGGGACTTCAGAGCCGAGCCCGACCTCGGCTGAGCCCATCAGTCGGCCAGCTAGGCCGAGCCCAGCTCTCGGCCAGTTAGGCTGAGCCCAGCGGCCGGGTGCTTGGTCTCCGGTTGGCGGGGCACGGTCCGTTACGGTTGCAATCTCCCGCCCCCCTTTTCACAGGGTGGTTAGGAGCTGATTAGTATATATTCCTGCTCAATTGTCTCGTTAAGATATCATTCAAATCTCTTGTAATAGCTTGACACAATTCATTAATACAAATTTTAATTTGTCTGCGTGACTAGTGATTCATTGTCTTTTCCGTTACACTACCATTGTCTTTATCCCTTAATATTTATAATTTGATTATTGGGTTATTTGAGTCGGATCAATTTAATATAATCCATCACTAACTTAAAATTTGTTTTTAGCGGTGTGATGAAATTTGATTTATGATGAGTTCTTTATACACATAAGTGTATAATTTAATATTGAATTTCAAAACTATATTGACTCAATTTATTTTTAAAATTTAAAATTTAATTAGGCTTTACAAATATATTATACTTTACCAATTAAGCAAAAGACAACTGTACTCTTCTTTCTAAAATAGTGCACTTCATTTTCACTAAACTGATCTTACTGCTCTAGATTTCTAGGTAATTGAAAATCATTGAAAACTCAAAGTGGCTGACATGCTTTGACTATTAATTCAATATCACTCGTGCAACATTTATCCTAAAATATTATTGGAGGTCCCATCCTCCACATGCTTTAGAGATACTTTGTAAAGAATGTTAGAATCAAATGTGTATTACAACGCCAAATAGGACAGGTATCCACCAGATATTTTCTTATATTTTTTAATGATAATAATATTTATAAACATTATATATTAGATTAATATAATAAATAAATTTGATTTCATATAGATTTTAAGGAGTAAGAATTTGTTAGTTATTTTTAAAAATATAAATATTAGACATATGTTTTTGCACACCGATACATCACGTATAGAAAAGACTAGTTTATATAATAACTCTCAAATCATACATTAAATACTATTCTCACCGTTTTGAAAGGCGACTTCTCTATTTAATAGATTGTTAGTGTCTGATATACTATTCCCACCATCCATTTTGATAGATAGATATACTAGTTGGCATGAATCCAAATTAAGAAATGAGAGAACATGGGTAATTAGGCACTAATAGAATTAGCTATTGATCGAGACCTACCAACATAGCCTCAAGTACAATGTATAGGCATCAATCTATGAGGCTTGTCGTTGAAAAGCTGTTGACTCCAATACTGGACTTACATAAGCTGCTAGTACGACCAAACATTATTATTTTTTTTTTTTTTGTAACATTAGTGGTGTCAAGTAATTAAAGTAATCAAATTATTGGTTTGTGTTTAAATCCCCAAGATTAGCCGTACATGCATAAATCTATGAGATAGATATTCTTATGATGATCTGGTTTAAGGTCAGCCCATCTTCTTTGGCTCCCCACTCATCTTTTTAGTGCTTAAAATATCCTGCCACATTTCCTCTTCCTTCTTGTTTATTCCATTACCGAGATCTGAATCAAATTATTTAATGTATTTTTATATGTAAAACAAAATTGTTTAGAATAAATGTGTTAATGTTAGACGGCGGCTTAGAGGGTCAAACTAATAAATTAGTATTATTTTGTTATCTAAATATAATACTAATTGTTATGTAAATATAAGGAAATAAAGTTGTGTATTTGTTATTAGATGTATACTAATATTTGCGC